GCATCATTATATTCCAGCATTATTCGGAAACATAATGAAGGAGTTTGAGAATTACCAACAAGTAAATATTGGGAGGTTTTGACAGACATATAATGGTTAAATTTGGTTTGCATATTCAAGAAGGGGGTAAAGCAACACCGGACACTACAGTCTGATGTCAACAATTGGAAAATAATAATGATAATAATCCTTGCATTTGATATAGTGCTTTTCATGTCTTCTAGACGTCTCAAAGCGCTTTATAGAATATACTACAAAGTGAATTGACTGTATATTTGTGGTCGAAATGCGGCAGCTAAACACCCCAGGTGTGCCCCACAAACAGTCATGGATTGAAGTGACTAATTTATTATTTATTTTTGTTTGTTTTTTTAGGGATTATTATTCCCGGAAAAGTGATCTGCCAATCGACTAACAACCAGGTTCATACTTAGTGCTAAGGTAAACAGAGGCGTGTGGAGTAAGGAAACTTGTCCAACATTTTGTCCAAAATAACTGAATTCCATCATTGGAAGCAATTGGAATGGCATCTATGTAAAACTAATCTAATAAATGACCAAAAAAACATCTTCATGTATAGTAGACCTTCCCTAATCAACCTCATTAATGTCATTAATGTTTTCTGTTGAGATATCTTTTCCAAATCAGGTCAGCCTGGCTCAGTTGGCAGCACTCTCACCTCTGAATGAATTCAAGCCACTAGTCGAGATTTTGAACTCACATAATCTAAAATGATACCAGTGCAGTCCTGGAGGTGTGCTGCATTGTTGAAGGTGCCGTCCTTCAGATTAACTGCCTGTCCAAGTGGACACTAAAGATCTCACGGCACTATTCGAAAGAGAAGGGAGTTTCTCCCTGCATCCTGCCAACAATCCCTCAAATAAAATTGATCATAACTTCAAGGCTGTTTGTGGGACACATCTGTGCACAAAAATTAGTTGCTGCATTTTGCTTCCCAAAACTACTGCACTTTATAGATATTCTGTGAAGGTTTTTGAAACTCGTCAAATTGAAAGGCACTATACAAAATGTGAGGGTTACTATAATTATTGACAGTGATAGTGGGAAGCCATATATTTGTGTTTGCCTTGTTTTCCAAAAAGCGTTTGATTAAATTACTACCCAACAAACTCTTTCCCTGAGATAAAATTGGTCATTTGGCTTCATGGCTGTTTGTGGGACATTGCTAGGTGCTGCGTTCATCTACAAATACATACACAGTCACTACATTTACAATAATTCCTGTGAAGCGCTTTGAGGTAGATGTCTTAAGACATGATTTTTTTTTCGGTCAACCATGTGTCTGACACACGCGCAAACCCATCACCGTGCTTAAGAGTATCCAAACCAAACTGAGAATTCCATGGACATGGAAATTCACGAGATACATTATTGGAATGAAATTATGAGGTGCTATATTAAATAATAATAATAAATTATTGAATTATTAAATAATTAAATATTATTAATAATAATCCTTGCATTTGATATAGCACCTTGTCATGTCATAGAGACAACAACAACAAGTGTTTTGCATTTATATAGCGCCTTTCACATCACAAGGATATCCCAAAATGCTGGACAGTATAAGAGTCTCACAGGATTTATTCAGTGTATTTTGTGGGCAAACATGGGAGACAATTTACACACAGCAATGTCCCACAGACAGCCACAGAGTGTGCAATCAATTCTACTTGTAGTCCTTTAACTGGGAGAATGCAAGAATTATTATTATTATTTTACAAACAAAAGCATGTCAACATCAAGGGAAAAACATGGATTAGTAACTGGCTAAATGAAAGGAAGCAGGGAGTAGACATAAAGGGAATTAAACCCAAATTAGGGATTGAGCCCTCTCTGGCTGGGATGGAACTTGTCAAGGGGAAGTAGAAAGAGACCAATGGTTGTTAACTCATCTCTCACATGCCCAAATATTATCGAGCAGCAATAAAAACAACAAACAGAATACTGGGCCACTTTATTACTTTCAAGTCCCCAGAACGTATTTTCCAACTACACAAGCAGAGCATCCTTTGCAGCTTTCATAACCGTAACATCCCTGTGTCATAAAGGCAGTGCTAGTGGGATGAATTCAGAGAAACAACAACTTGTATTTATATAGCACCCTTCATGCAGTGTAGCATCTCTGAATGCTCATTAGCACCGGAGATTGCCATCGAGCCATGGAGAGAGGGGAGGTGACCAAAGGCACGGTGAAAGAGGAAGAGGTGCGACAGCATCTCAGTGTTGCTCCACTCTACCTCTGCAACCTCCTCAAACAATACCGACCTGGCTGGTCCCTTCCTCAGCAGGCACCAGCCGACTTGCTTCATGATTCTGCCCGACCCACTCTACTATTGGCGGTCAGGCTTTCAGCCTATCTGCCCTCACGCTCTGGAACTCCAGCCCAGAGTCACTCTGACTTGCACCCTACCTCATCCCTTTTAAGGTCTGTCTCGATGCATGCCTCTTTGAATGTACATTTGGACCTCTTTCCCCCTCAGTTCTCACCCTCAGCTCAGGTACCAATACCGGAGTATTATGCGCTTTGGGATGTCCTTCCGACATGAAAGATGCTATATAAATGTAAATTTGTATTGTATTGTATCTTTAATTCCACTACTGTTTAACTGCACCTATGGTCACTTTCCCTCTCTCCATTGTTTGCCATCCAACTCCGCCACTGTGCAGTGCTCCGAGATGCTATGCTGCGTGAAATGCGCTATATAAATACAAGTTGTTGTCGTGGTTGTGGTCCACAGGAAATGCTTAAACTTAGTGTCACATTTAGGAAGTTCACTGGTTATCCAATTACCCCCTTAATATTGTTAGAAACAATCAGAGATTTATCTGCTGGTTTAAGTTGCTTTAAGAACTACAGAAAACCATCTTCAAATTTAAGGCTGAGTTCAACACTCCAAAAACATAACCTGAGTAAATCTGGACCCTGGCGTAATTTCTTCACGGTAGAGCGAAAAATGCCTATTTGTATGTACTGCGTAAAAATACATTTGAAAACTTGAGCATACTTTGTGTAGTTATATCGAGTTAAAATTGCCATCCTGTTGATTTGACAGACTTGGTTCCTTTTAATGTCCAACTTGTGTGGACAACAGCAATATAACGGACCTTTTATTAGATTCCTTCAGAGTGAGTACACTTCTTACATTAGGAAGCAAGTCAAACAGTGGAAAGAACCCGAGTCCATTTGTAATTGAATTGCATGTAAACAAATCGATATTGGATTTGATGTGCGCACCAGATATGCTATACAGCGCTCTTCCCCCACTCCCTCCCCTTTGCATATCTTAGGATTTGAAGATGCTTTTTGAACTTGCCTTACACTGACTGAAAGCTAACTCCAACCTCTGTACATGTCGGGTGAGTGCAAGGGAAAGAGGAATGGTTCAAATGGCTTTATTTTGATTTTAAAAAAAGATGTGACAATGGAGCTCCCACTCCAGTCATTGTTTGGGTGGAAGGCATGTTCCGATCACCTGATCTGTCTCTCAGGCTCACTGATCTTATCTCCATCCTGTTCGGATATCCTGAAGCTGGTAACAGTCTACCTAACCTGTTTTCTAAATGGCAGATGTGGAAATTATCAAGATGAAGCCCAAGTTACTATAGCAACACCTTTTGATAGTTCAGTTCACAGGCTATCAAAATATGTTTCATTGATGAACTGTGGCCTGAGCACTGTGGAAAAAAAACAACCGCTGCTCACTCTAACAGCTGGAAATTTTAGAAAATACATTGATACAAATTCTAGTCCTGAGGACAGACTTTGGCTAATTAAGAAAAACGTCTCGCTACGTTTGCTCAGTGTTCTGAAATGGCCTTTGTGCCGAAAAAAAAGTTTTAATTCAACAACGTTTCACTGTGAAAGAAAATTAGTGCAAGTTATTCTCACCTTTTGACTGGGGAGAGGAGCACTGACTCACATTAGAGGAGTATTCCCACCTAGTATTAACCTGTAAACAATATAGTGACCACAACCATAGGGCGAAACCTTAAGCAAGTTTCCTTGCTACACACGTCTGTTTACCTAGCAGTAAACAGGAGCCCGGTTGTTAGTTGATTGGCAGATCTCTTTTCTAGAGGTAATAATCCCTTCAAAAAAAATTAAAATTAATAATAATTTAGTCACTCAATCCATGACTGTTTGAAGGACACTGTTGTGCGCAGTTGGCTGCCACGTTTTGCCCATAAAAATATACAATCCACTTTGCAGTATATTCTGTAATGTGCTTTGACACGTTTGATGTAAGGCACTCTGTCAGGCTTGATTTGGAGATTCTGAGTTGCTGCGCAGTGCTTAAAAACAACTTGCATTTATATGGAGCCCTTCACGTGAGTAGTGTGCGTCTCTGAGCGATTACCAGGAGTGTGGTTTGACCACACCGAATTAAACCAGCTTTCAAATATTAACCATAATAATAATAATCCTTGTATTTGATAAGAGCCCCTTATTGCGTCTTCGAGACATATTCCGCAATGATACGGTGATCAACATTTTAGCAGAAAGTGGGCTTTGCGGGCAGAAGTCCAAGTTGTACTTCAGGCCTCGGAAACTCTTCAGCAGCAGGCGAGAGCTTTTACTTTGAAAGGATCCCCTTCAGCCTTTGGTCAAGCTCTCCAAAGTAGCCTTGAGGCTCCGCGATGCCATGGAAACTGGAAAAGCCAATAAAGAACCTTTGCTTGATGTGAGGTGCCAAGAGCAAGCAGAGGCTCTTTTGTTTTCCATTTGGTGTGTGCAGGTCACAGGTAGGGTAAGGGTAGGGGAAGTGGGGGGAGGAAAGAGCTCAGTTGCTAACTCACTGCCTTGCCTTGATCTCCACTTCCTAACAGGCTGCAAACCAAATATTGCTGTATGTTACAGCCATTGGTTGAAACAATCCTTGCAAGAGCACTGTCATCAGTTAATCATGTGAATAGATTATAACTGTTCTCCTGGACAACCTCCAACTTACATCTAGTTTTGTGTCTGTGTGTGTTGTGTGCATGTGTTGTGTTGTGTGCTGTGCTGTTGGGGTCTGGATGTGTTGTTGACTGCTCTCTCCATGCAGTGTTCAGGAGTTTGAACTCCCTGTAGCCTCCAGCCATTGCAGGGGAAAAGAACATTAAAAGGCAGCCTGGCCATTACTCCACTGCAGTCTGCATCTCCTCCACACACACACACACACATACACAGCCCCACAATGTGGAAAATAAAGCATAAAGGGCTAAAGGATTTGGACCTGGAGGATGAAAAACCACATGAAGTGTGCAAGGTAAGAACATTTATTTCCCTTACTCATTGCTGTTTGGCTGCAAAAAGGTTTATTATTTTTTGCTGTTACTGTGTAAAAGGATCCTGGCTGGATAGAAGCAGAGAGAGAGAGAGAGAGAGAGCACTGCAGTCTGTTAGATGCTTTTAAGGATGTGTAAGTGTTTTGCTCTTTCAGTCCCATCTCCCAATATAGAAGATAATATATTCTTTATTGCATCAGATGTTTGGATACATACATATTTGGATACTTATGCAGATGGAGAACTATGCATTGTATGTGATGCATCATATACACTATATGTGGACAGACTGGTATCAGAGAGTGGATTTGGAAACCCACTCTGTTTGAATGTCAATGTTATTCTTATTTCTGAATGTGCGACATGGGCTGTTGTTCAACACAGCTCAGAGCTCTCAGCCAAAGCAAGGACCTCTCATCTCCATCTCCATCTCGTCTCACGTCCACACTGGAGTTTTCGCCCCAGGGTCAGGATTCACTTTGGGGCTCAGTGAGGTGGGTGTGGGGTGGGGGAGATGGTGCGGTTCTGCATTGCTCAAGGGGATTTAACAGCGACCAAACCCATCAGCAGCAGAGGTTGTGGGTATAGATTGCCCCATTGAGGATAATGACACCAGCAGGGAACAGACCTGCGGAATAAAATCAGGGAGGTAGGGAGGAATTATTAAATGAGGGTTTTACTTTATATATATGGGTGTGTTTATATAATAATAAAAATCCTTGCATTTTATACAGCGCCTTATCACGTCGTTGACATGTCTCAAAGCGCTTCACAGAATATACTGTAAAGTGAATTGACTATATATTTTGTGGCCAAAACCAGCAGCCAATTGCGCACAGCAGTGTTCCCCAAACAGTCGTGGATTGAGCAACCATTTATATTTTATTTATATTTTTTTGAAGGTATTATTAACCCCGGAAAGCGATCCGCCAATCAACTAACAACTGGGTTTCTGCTTATTGCAAGATAAACAGAGGGGTGTAGAGTAAGCAAAGTTGGCAAAGATTTTGCCCTGCCTGGGAATCAAACCCGGGTCCTCTCGCTTGTGAGGCAAGTGCTCTAACCAATACGTTACAGGAATCTCTCTCTCTTTGTATGTGTGTGTATATATATATATACATAAACGCATTTATATATAAATATAAAGCCAAATTTGTACAAAGAGTTTAAAGCATACTTTTCACCATGTCAAGTGCTTGATAGATTTGCTGGGTATAAACTGCGACTCGTGAGAAACCTGATGGATGATGATGTATTTAGTTGCCATGTAGATTAATAAACCTCTGTAACTCTTTTCCAACATTTTACCTAATGTAACATATTGAGTCCATGAGAGCAGAATAAACACTTTGATATATCAGGTTAATACTATACTGTAAACCACTATATTGCCTTTTAAGGTCTGACTTTCAGTAGAAATTTTGCTCCCATGCTTTGGTGCTGTAAAGACTGCACTGGTTTCCCAGTGAACAGTAACATTTTTGGAATGTCTCTTATATGATCTGTTTCAGAGTAAGGATCCATTGCTTCCAGAAGAGGCCACAAACTCTGTCTCACAGCTTGCTACAAAGGTAGGAGGGAGTCTGTTTTCACTTAGATTCACTTTGTACTAAGATGGATTGCTTTGTAATGTTCTGTTCCCTATATTCGTCCTTTTAATTATTTTTTGTGTTAGATTTTTTGTTGCTAAATTTCACTTGGCGTTAAACATCTCTGACTCGCAATTGAGCTGCGTTAATCTGGATAATATTCATGAAAGTCCAACGCACATTATTTAATTACTCATTGCATCTATTTTTGCAGAGGTATCAAATGTTTGATTGGAATGTGCTGATGGGAGAGGGGAGGATTATGAATTAGTTTTGTAGTAAAGACAGAATAATCAATAGTGGAAGACTGATGGCAGAAAAACAAGTGCAATTATATATTTAACCCTGTGAGGGACATTTCTCCAACTGAGATTATCACAGTAGATTTATTTCAATGACCCATTGCTACATTTTTTTCAATTAGAAAATGTCTTACATTTAAAATTGTAATTAATTCATAGTTGTTAGTAAAGTTGGCTACTTTGGAAATGTTTACTGTGATACATTGAATAGCCTTTATATTTTCTGGCTCAATTGGTAGCACTCTCCTCTGAGTCACATTGGGACTGTGAAGTCATAAAAGTCTACGTGAATCTATGCTGACACTCCCAATGCATTTCTGGGGAAGTGCTGCATTGTTGGAGGTGCTATCCTTCGGATGAGACGTTAAATTGAGGTCCCATTTGCCCATTCAGGTGGAGGTTAAAAATCTCAGGGCATTATTCGAAAAAGAGAAGGGTGTTTCTCCCAGTAACCTACCCCACCCACACCCCTAAATAAAATGCCATGGCTGTTTCATGGCTGTTTGTGGGATGTTGCTGTGCATGAATGTTTTGCGTGCTCCCCTGTAAAATACACAATCACTATGCTTTCTTATATATCCAGTGAAGTGCTTTGATACATTCTACTGATGTGAAAGGCGTAATACCAAATACAAGTATTATTGTTATTGTTTACAGTTTGTGACCACTTCATTGGTTATGGATGTGCAACTGAAATCTATTGGTTGCAATGACTTTTTTATTATCCTTAAGGAACTCATAAATAATGATCCGTGCCCTTGATGTCGGGAGTGCATCTCAAAGCGCTTCACAAGATTTACTGTAAAGTGTAGCGACTATATATTTTGTGGTTGTGTGCACCCAGAATGGAGCATTTCCTTCTGTTAAAAGTGTAAATGGTACAGAATGCTGGGAGGCAGGTGCTAGAAAATCAGCTGGTAGTTGTAGATTTCCTGCAAGAAGTCACCAATAAACTTCTTTTATTTGAAACTTTTACATTGAATTTTGCTCAATTTAGCAAAATTCTACAACATGTCTCTTTATTTAGGGGAAGAGGGTGGGTTGAGTGAAAATTTGATGAAGTGAGGAAAACAGTCGTGTTTTCCACTTTTGCCACTGTTGTCATTTTTTATATCATTGCCGTGATGGGATATTATTTTAAATGGTGAAGCAATTCAGAGTGCAAATCCAGGTGTGTATTGATTCTCTCTGAATTACTTTCACCAGGAGCTGAGGAGAGCTCAGAGAGTGTGCAACTAAAGCTCTGTGCGATGCACTGTGATATCTTGTTTGTGGTTATTAAGGGAGACTGTAGGTGACCACTTCTATAATAATGTGAAAGTTCTCAAAGATGGCCAAATAGAGACAATCATACAATTTCTAAATTTCGTGTTTTAAGTTTAAAAGTTAGTTGGAATGAGGTGCTATACAGTGGGTCTATATTACAGTTAATAGCACGAGGAGCAGGGCTTAACATGAATTGATTACCCCCAAAAAAATCATCATGTTTAATGTATTATAAGGGTTGGTTTGATGTGGAAATTGCATTGAATCAATGCTAAAAATACAGTTAAAAGGAGCATTGTCCCGGCATCAAGCCAGTTCGACTCATTTATGTGGAATTAAAGCCTTTATAAGGCTTTAATTTGTCACAGCAGTATGACACAAAGTAACCTCAGAAAAACAAAGCACACTATACTGCAATATGCATTTTTGTATGCGTGTGTGTTACAAATCAACAGCAACAACAAATTACATTTGTACGGTGACTATCATGTCGGGAGGATATCCCAAGGCGCTAAAATCAGCCACTATATTACAGAATTAGATGAATTAGAAATGAAGTGAATCTTGTTAATGGAAGCAAGTGTGGAAGCTGAAGGTAAATGGTACCAACATCCTATCATGACAAACATAACCAATTAATAGACTTTAGAATGGGAATTTGGACGAGGAGGGACTAATTATTAGATAGTCGAAAGAAATACTTCACTTTTCTTAGAAATAGCAGTAATAAGAAGGCAGACAAGAGCGAAATGAATGGCTTAATTGATAAAAGGGATGATGATTTGAAATAAATAGATTTTTTAAAAAAAAACTAGGGTTCAATATAGAATGTTATATTGCCTACAATCAGCTCTGAATGAATAGATAATTCTGATATAACTGCAAAGTATAAGTCACGCAACAAAAGTTGTAAAATGAGATTATTATCTTGAATGGCATTTATTGGCTCTCCAGGACACGTTCATAAAATCTCAGCAAATGGAGATTCCAGGTCACCAATCGTGCTACATGAAGTTCTGGCAGCAGAACTCCCATTCTGTCTGTTTCCTAAAACATTTGGCTCTATCTTTTTCTCTTTCATCTCAGTGTTTGGGCTGTAGACCTTATCTTTAAATGACCCTCCCTGGCTTTACTGGTGCTTCCAAACATGCAGAATTCAGGTGAAACACTTGGCTAGCTACAAGACTGGAACAATTAAAATATAGTGTGAGTACACGGTCAATTAAAATATAATGTGAGATCAGAAGAGAGATTGACCCCAGTGTGAGTACGCTTCCTGATCACTTGATAGTAGTCCTGCTTCAGGTGGGGGTAGAGTGGCAGAAGGCTCGCCCACCAATAGTGGGGCGAGCGAGGCGGGGGTGTGAAGCAGGCCAGAGCCCGCTGAGCAGAGGGAGTGAGCAGGATGGTAGGGGGTTAGGAGGTCGCAAAGGTTGAGGGAGCAAGACCATGGAGGGAGTTTGAGGGTGAGAACCAGGATCTTGAACTGTATCCTCTGTGTGATGGGATACCAGTGGAGTTGGGCGAGAATGGGGGTGATAGGGTTGTGGAGCCTAAATGGGTATGGATGGGGAACAGGTTATAGTGGAGGAGAATAGGAGGGGGTGAGGCTTGTGTGGAGTATTAACACCGGCATTGACTATTTGGGCCAAATCACTTGTTCATGTGCTGTTTCATTCCAAGTAACTCTAAGTAACAACAGGATTTGACTTGCTGGTTAGCATGAAGGTAGGTGGCACTAAGTTAAGTCCTTTTGTACTTTCATATAGTATGAATTGGAATCAAAAAGAGATTAAGAAAATTGTAGAAACAGAACAAGAGAGGTAGAAATTTAGAAGGATTTGGAGAAAGAGAAAAACACATGATAGTACAGAGATACAGAGATTCAGAGAGAGAGAGGGAGAAATACAGTAAAAGAGAAATAAACAGTTAAGAGTTTGAGTAAGATAGAGAAACAATGTGTTTCTGTTGGAATAGTTGGCAGGTGGCAAAATTGTACGATGTCCAATTATCCTCACTGTTTGCCTCTCCACAATGGGGCTGGACACAATTAGTGCAGATAATCAGATCTCGACTGTAATTGAAGATTTCTAGGAGTATAAATGTGTTTTGTTCAGGCTAGATGCCGGCATTTTTACCCTAAGTTTGGTTTCTGCTTCACATAAGCTAAAGCTCTGCAACTGTTGACTAGTAATTTGACAGTATTTCAACTTGCGCTCACACTTGTACAAGACTCGGTAGAAGTCAGAGAACTGGAAGAGACAGCCCATTCAACAAACTTTGCTTTTGCCAAAAATGTAAGGCCCCAAAATTCCGGCTAATCTTAGCCTGTAATCCTGTAAAATGTAAGATCTTGGGGCTGAGCGGAAAAATCGTAAACCCAGTTTTAATTTGGATGCTAATTTTTTTGCAGTTATTGAAAAAAAGGATTCAAAGTAAGAATGGATTTAAGAATTTCCGACCATTCTTTGAAGCCTGAAATGTTAAGACAGAGTGATCTTACCGGCTAAGACTGGGTGAAAGTTTATAGATTAATTTTCAGAAATTCATGATATTTCTTTTTGTGAATACTTCATTGTGCCTGGTTTCTTGAATTCCGGGAATATGTATTTTCCAGCTCCAGTAAATAGTATTAGCACGATAATCTGTGGAATTAATGTTATTTAGTACAATACATTTAAATCCCCTATTTGAGGTCAGTCACACAGGATTTCTATGCCATGTTACTATGGAGAGGATAAATCCCATCAATACAACACGGGAGCTTTTGACCACATAGTTTAGTTCAAATATTTTACCTACTGAACGAGCTGCTGACTTTCATTTATAATAACCGCTCAAGTGAAATGGCAATTGTCAATCCAATATTTTTTCTGGAAATTGCAATAGGTATATATACTCCTGTTTGGTAGAGGTTCCTAATGGCCTCTAGCCATTTCCATTAATGTTTTTCACATGAAACATTTATCGTTCTGGAGAATGAATAAGACATAAGGAAGCATAGACCATGAAAGGAACATTTTGCCCATCCAATATTTTCCTTTTGCAAAGATTGTACAATTCATTGTCCTGGCTAACAATCCCCCAAATAAAACTGGTCACTCACTCCACAATGCTCTTTGTGGGACATTGCTGTAAACAAATTGGCTGTGTGTTTGCCAATAGTCGCTCCACTTTATAGTATATGCTGTGAAGCCTCAATGACATGATAAGGCACTATATTAAATGCAAAGATTATTATGATTATTATTGTTATTATTATTGAGTCCCATCCATTAAGGCAAAATGGTAAGGCAAGTTTCCTTACTCCTCTGTTCACCTAGCAGTAAGTAGGAACCCGGTTGTTAGTCGATTGACAGATCGCTTGTCGGGCTAATAATCCCTTCAAAAATATATAAATAATAATAATTTGGT